CACAAAAAAAAAAACGGAGACAAAAGCAAAAAACGGGGAATACGAACACAAACGGGGGGGGGATTCGGAGGACAAGAGAGAGATAGATTATGACGGTGATAGGCACAGTAGCCCTGCTGTGGCTATCTAGTAGTTGTTTATGTTAAAAGATTTGTCTGCATCCTGAAATGATGAACAAGAGTTCTTGTTTTCAGAGTTCTAGAGGTTATCCTTAACTTGGCCATACTCTCTAGATTTTTCAAGCCCTAGCTTCTGTTCTTCTCTTTTGACCTTGGGAAAGTTACTTAACCTCACTTAAGCTTCAGTCTGTTTATCTGTAAATGGGAATGATAATAATGCCTATTTCATAGGATTATAGAAAGGATTAAACAAAGCAGTAATGGGCCTTATATTGCCTACTTTTGTTAAAGTCATGTTTCATATAAGTTACTGAGCAGTACCAGCCACCAAATACCCGATGCATAAGGTGCGGGCTACTTGTCTTTTAAAGGTAAAAATCTATTCAATTCATTAGGCTCCTCTGCTTTCTTTCCTCCTTTTCTTTCTAAACTTGAAACATTGTGAATAAGGCCTCTAGACTATGACCTCTAGTCTTGATTTCCTTTCTTACTTCCTATGGGGTATCCTAGTGAAACTGGTTGTGTGTTAGGACCTTTTTGTGTATATTTATATTCATAGAGAATATATTCAGTATTGTATTATTTTGTACTTCAAAAAAGGTAAATTTGGCCAGGTGTAGTGGCTCACGCCTATAATCCCAGCACTTTGGGAGGCCAAGGCTGGGGGATTATTTGAGCTCAGGAGTTCAAGATGAGCCTGGGCAGCTTAGTGAGACCCTGCCTCTACTTAAAAAAAAAAAAAAAGTATTTTAAATTCAATTTTATTTTCAAGAGATCTGTTCAAGCTAATGCCTATGGATCAATCTTGTTCAATAAACAGCTGCAGAGTATTCAGAATATAAATGCACCACTGCCATTAGACATTTTAGCATTGGACATTTTAGGTTGTTTCTTTATATTTGCTTTTACATATGGTACTGAATGAAGTGTATTTGTGCACGTTTCTATGCACATTTATATATCTTTTTTTTTTTTTGAGATGGAGTTTCGCTCTTGTTACCCAGGCTGGAGTGCAATGGCGCGGTCTGGGCTCACCACAACCTCCGCCTCCTGGGCTCAGGCAGTTCTCCTGCCTCAGCCTCCTAAGTAGCTGGGATTACAGGCACGCGCCACCACGCCCAGCTAGTTTTTTTTGTATTTTTAGTAGAGACGGGGTTTCACCATGTTGACCAGGATGGTCTCGATCTCTCGACCTCATGATCCACCCGCCTCAGCCTCCCAAAGTGCTGGGATTACAGGCTTGAGCCACCGCGCCCGGCCGCACATTTATATTTCTAAGGTAAATTAGATCTGAAGTACTAGTATTGTTGGGTGAGAAAGTATATTCCCTGTTTCTTCTACACAGTTCTGGGCTCTGCAGCACTCAACTTCATGTAAACCTAATCAGTCTTCAGCCAGTCTTTTCTCTGTGAGAACTTACTCATTCCCCTTTATTTTCTGTGAGCTCTACTAAAGCAAACATTTGCCGGCAAATAATAACTCATATTGAAGAATATATATTTGGTCTTTTGAACTCAGGGGCTTTGTCAGTATGGAGCCAGGCTTGTTAATGCTGTAACTGGAAATGATGGAGTTAGTAAAGTTGAGGCTGTTATTAAAAGTAGCTATGATGATGTACAAATTAGTAATAAATTTCTACTTTTTTCAGATGAAAACAATCAGAAATCTCAAAATTTCCACTTTGTACAGCTTATAACAAAATAGTAGGTATTTTATGTCCAAACTATTGATAACTTTTCTTTTGAGACAGAGTTTAGCTCTTGTTCCCCAGGCTGGAGTGCAATGGTGGTATCTCAGCTCACCGCAACCTCCGCCTCCCGGCTTCAAGCAATTCTCCTGCCTCAGCCTCTTGAGTAGCTGGGATTACATGCTAATTTTGTATTTTTAGTAGAGACGGGGTTTCTCCATGTTGGTCAGGCTGGTCCCGAACTCCTGACCTCAGGTGATCCACCTGCCTTGGCCTCGCAAAGTGCTGGGATTACAGGTGTGAGCCACTGCACCTGGCCCATAATTTTCTATTTTTATTTTTTTTATTTTTTATTTTTTATTTATTTATTTATTTTTTTTTTTGAGACGGAGTTTCGCCCTTGTTACCCAGGCTGGAGTGCAATGGCGCGATCTCGGCTCACCGCAACCTCCGCCTCCTGGGTTCAAGCAATTCTCCTGCCTCAGCCTCCGGAGTAGCTGGGATTACAGGCACGCGCCGCCATGCCCAGCTAATTTTTTGCACTTTTAGTAGAGACGGGGTTTCACCATGTTGACCAGGATGGTCTCGATCTCTCGACCTCGTGATCCACCCGCCTCGGCCTCCCAAAGTGCTGGGATTACAGGCTTGAGCCACCGCGCCCGGCAATTTTCTATTTTTATTGATTAAAAAGTAGTAATCAGAAATCTCAGTTTTTCTCTTTTTTGAGACAGGCTCACTCTGTCACCCAGGCTAGTGTGTAGTGGCATAATCTCAGTTCACTACAACTTCCACCTCTCAAGTTCAAGCAATTCTCTGGCCTCTGCTCCCAAGTAGCTGGGATTACAAGTGTGTGCCACTATGCCCAGCTAATTTTTGTTATTTTTAGTACAGATGAACTTTCACCATGTTGGCCAGGCTGGTCTTGAACTCCTGGGCTCAAGTGATCCACCTGCCTCAGCCTCCTAAAGTGGTTTGATTACAGGTGTGAGCCATTGTGCCTGGCCCAGTTTTTCTACCTTATATAACTTACAACAAAGGATGCTTGAAAGAGTAATGACACTAAAACAATAAGGTTTCCATGAAGAATCCCGTGGAAAAATACCCATTTGTGATGAGCTTTAGCCTTCTTTGCATTTTATGCAATTGAAAATGACCCCCTGTGTTCTAATGGAGCTTATATTGAGACCAAAGGTAATGGTAGCTTTAACTTTTATCTGAGCACTAGAATCTGGGGGGATGGTTTTTAGGCAAGACTAATTATTCTTGTCTCCTCCTTTACAGGAAGAGAGAAAATTTTCAAAGACTGTGCAAGGGAAGGTACAGAGCAGTTATCTGCATTCACTTCTGGAAATGGGGGAGCTGCTGAAAAAAAGACTTGAGACCACAAAGAAACTAAAAATTTAAGAAAGTATCAACCACGGGCACTGATGACTGCAACAGAAAATGACACCATCTTCCCAGGCAAAAGCAACATCTGGTTGACCTTGATTTTAATCCAGAACTTCCTCATAAAATGCATGAAGGACTTTGTGAATTTTTTTAGATGTTAAATATATACAACTGACTAAATTATTGTATATAAACCAGAAGCAGGACCCTCATCTGGGTTTGACCACTTTTATACATGTTCATATGCATATGGCAGCAAAAAGAGAACCTTACTTTTCTTCTTCCCATCACCAGACACATCTTGTCAGGGGAGTGGGGGGGCGGGGTCTATAAAAACAGCAATAGAAATTAAGCATAAAGCATCAACCTTGTAGCAACTCAGTGGCCCTTCCATTATAAATAGCAGTAAGAGTTTTTTGTCTGGTCCTTGAGCCACAAGAAGTGGAGGGACCATGCCTGGGAACAGGCCCTCTTTCCACAGCAGCAGGTTTGTTTTGAGGTTTGCTCAGCTACTTGGCTCCTACAGAACCCAAGGCAGGTACACAAAGGGCCATAGATGAGATCTGGCATGCCTACCTGCCATTGAAGGACATCACTTGGATGACCACAGGCACTCACTTTTTGGCTTAGTTTTTG